TATTTATAATAATTTTTATGATCATTGAATTACATGTTTCAAATTTAATTGAATAAGTTGTTTCATTGTTAAAAAATAGATACTAATTTTGATTGACTCATGTCATTGCAACGAATTGTCCGTGCAACGAATTGTCCGCAACGAATTGTCCGCGACGAATTGTCCTGCAACGAATCGTCCTAGCACCAGTTTTTCTGGCGATCGATTATCTCTGGAAAATAACTATAGTCTGCTGGAGGTTCTTCACATTATCTACTTTCTATTAGTATAATGAGGCTAAATAATGCATATGAGTTCCACATTTCAACCTCAGAAGAACTGCCCTGGCAAATCTTTTATTAGTATGTATTTAAACATTTTTGTCATAGCTCATTATTTGTTTTTTACTGACAATAAATAATTGCTAGATTGCTTCATTGTGATATAGTCTAATCTCTGTCTGATAACTTCTACTACTTTATACTCGAATATCTATTATTGATTTACTGCTTTTTGTACGCTGATTAACAGAAGTATATATTTGCAACAAGCCAAGTGCTAATTACTTCAAAATTAATCATTGTTATTGAAAGACAAACTAACAGTAAATATATGCTGCGTAGAACATTTATTTATTTACTCCTCTGTTCTTTTAGCATTCTCGTTTCATTTTATACAATTCTAACTAACACATCATTTTAGAACCATCTCTAAGCTTATCTTCGTCCGACTCAATTTAAACATTTAATATATAATTTCGACAGTTCTTAATTCAAACAAAAGAAGCATTCCAAGTTATTCTCCTTGCTTAGTGTGGGTGATGATGTGGATATGGCGTGGGTGTGGTTATTCATTTTCTTCACATAGATCCACACCCACACCTACATCATAGAGAGGCTTTATTCGAGTATGAAAAATCAATCATTCTTATCTTTGATACTGTAAAGCCTAATCGGATGTGGGTGCAGATATAGATGTAGGCGTAGGTACGCTTGTTTGTGGTATGTGAATAAGTCGGCGAGTGTTTTCTGTTCAACCACATTCATATTTCACTCCCACACCTAATAAATATGATTCTTTGCAGTTTGGACACCTTTGATAATCAATTGTGTGGTTAGAGCTAGACTCTTTCGTTTGAATTACGTATGCTTTAATAGAATACTTAAGTGTAATCTGTAATCTGCTTAATCTGAAGTCAAAAAAAGTATTTGATTAAATGTAAACGATTAAAGACAAGCCATATATTCTTGCATTTTGTTCCTCAGAACAAGCAGAAGTTTTCACCACGATACGATATTAGGGTGCCCCATGATAAAATCAATGGAATAAAAATAGTACTATAACAATGAAATCACTAAGAAATCTTTCTGACAATCTTAAACAGAGTTTAATACATGTGTCTAAAAGAGTTTCTATGTCAGCGTATCATTTTTGCCTAATAGCCAAAGAAGAATTCGATTACGACTCCATACACAATTACCAGCTAACAATAGATCTTTTGTTATCTTGTGTAAACGATCGAACTCTGTTTCTACATGAAATCACAGACATCATTAGGTGAGATATATGCAAAATGTGCGCCATCCATAGGACTAGAAATGCGCTTCACATGAGTACTAATGGACAGTATGTTTTCCTTTGATTATTTAGGGACGCTTCTAGCTAGTGTTTTTATCAAATGATCCGAAAAAAAAAGTTTTTTCTCTAGCAAGCAATAGCGAAAAACGGCATTGTCTGTTGTGTTTTACGCTTGAAAGTGACAATGAACATGAATAAAAATTTGATGAAGACGATAATTCAGTCAAATCTCGATAGAATTGACTGAAATTTTCAGGGTTAACTTATGTCAGTAAAATGTAGGCGTGGTAAAAGTTTCAACGGAATCGAACATATTTTCGGAGTAGATCAAATCAGATTGAAAACGTTCGCGTCGTTTGTTTCGTATTTATTAGAAGACGAATGAAAGAAAACAGTGCCATTCAATGCTTGATACATTAAATCAGTAAGAAAAACGATGCCACGTTGTGTCATTTGATCGGCGTGCATCAACACACGACAATAACAATCGTGAATCATATTACAAATATGCATAAAGTTGCTATCGAACACAACAGCACGCTTCGCCCTTCATGTGAGTGGTGCACAGGTGACAATGGAGAAAGCAAGCAGGATATTTTATAATGCTTCTATTTAACGAAATATTCTCATAAATTTGGGCTCATTTTTTAAAACTTATAGATTGATCAATAAAAACATGAACATTTCCATTATTTATCTTGCTGCAGTCACTATTGCTCTTTTATCATTATCATCGGCTAAACCTGAGATTTCAGCATGCCTTCAAGAAATAATTCATTCCATGCTGAATGAACCTGTATGGAATCAATACAGTCAAATCGACCAGTATTTGTATCGCGGCAGAATAACCTATCTAGGGACGCCTCGCTCCTGGTATGACCAAATGAATCCTCTTTACGACAGAGAATGCACTTATATTTGTGCTCCTAATGGTGGTTTTACAGGTCACGGTGATGGTAAATGCATGAATTTCAGTGAGACGGCAAAACTATTAGGTACCGTCTGGGTGGCATTGCCCAATAAATAAATTAGTCCTACCAGAACTATTGTCATCATAATATGATCCTTAAAACGAAATAAAATAAAATAATCTAGCAACCATATATAAATATAAACCATATAGAAAAACGTTTTCAGCACAATCTCTTCTGGACTGTGATATCAACTATATAGTATTTGATGTGAAGAAATTACATCACTTATTTGAAAATACATAAAATCTACTACTACTTCTTTCGAAATGTTTTTGTTTTTTGCTTGTGATCTATCGAACAATTCATCTCTAGATATTGCACGATTTGTCTAACTGAACAAACCGTTGCCGCATGGAAATTTCAACGAACTTCCCATTACATCTATTATAACTTATATTGAATCTATACTATTTTAATGAAACATATTGTTCTTCTTATCACAGAACAACAGTGGAAGAGAATCATCGCTGAGAATTGATCGTAACTAAAAATCTCACAATTTTAAATGATCTTTATAATTAACAGGAACAATGAAAATAAGAAGAGAAGATCGACGAAATTATTGACTCATTTCGAAGCATATTTTAGTTCGTTGAATACCGCTAATTTATTCAATATGATTTGAATTCGATTAGAGTCAACATTCATTTGTACAGATGATCATATGACTTTAAGGGTTTCAATATCAATTTCTACATCCACTCAATAATTCAGTTATCTTTACTACCATAATCAATAGTCAAATGATTGCGTGTGTCGATTGACATATATGATTCATGTAAATGAAAACTTATTACTATGGCATATTTAGTTTTTTTCACCAAAAACATCTTTGAACATCACCTCCTGTCTCGAATTCTTTTCCATCGATGGTTCCGAATTGTGATCAATTGATTTCATCGAAGATATCATTCAATAATCATCATGGAAATTCTTTACAACAATTACAATGCTTACTTAAATAGAACTTTTCAGTCATCTCCAAACAGTAGTCCCTCATGAGTGTAGACCATCCAAAAAAAAAAGATACTTATTAAGGTTTCAATGCGAGAGATACTATAAAATGATTTAACATTGATAATATGTTGGTGGGTATAGTTGGAAATATAGTGAACTACTCGTTGCCAATAATCACATCCACATCAACGCTCTAATCACATGATGACACATCTTCAACGTAAAATAGGTAGGCAGTGAAAGATGTACATGGACAGTAAATGTGATAAATGTTGCTTGATTTCCAAGGATGATTTGATTGTGTGTGTGAACAAGATTGGTTTCAATTTGACGATAAATAAAAGTCTATGGATATGATAATTGCAGAGCATTCGTTGAGATTTGGATGGTATCTAGATCACACATGTTATGAGCTGCCTCTGATGCTTAGTCGCCAAACACTATCTGAGGGAGAACAAGTGTTGGCGAATGAAAACAAAGAGTACTCAGTGAGAAAACAATACAGCAGAGTAATATTACTTTTTCAGTAATCAGACAAATTTTCAACGTGATAATGTGTAGCAATTGTTGTAGACTATCTATTTTATTGAAGTTAAAATGAATACACTCTGAAACGTTTTATTCTATCTAACAACATATATTTTAAAATTATATAAATGCGGTACTTGTAATTTTCTTTTCAAAGTATCAGATTGCACATTTTTTTTTCTTTTCAGAGAATAATATTTTTGCAATGTAAAAAATCATAATCGAATTCGTAGTTATAATTCGAAAAAATCATTCTTGTTCTTCTATAATTTGTTTGAGATGACAATTATGCAATGTAACAATATTCGTACGCAATAATAGACCTTATCTGTGACATTAAGAATATCATTGATGAGAATGACCATTTTTAGTGCGCCAGTGTATCTATTTTACTTCTTATCAGACCACGCATCTGTGCTTATGTTGAAAAAAAGAAAGATTTTTTTTATCATTACTGTTATTGTGTGCATACATTTAGGAGAACAGCGCTACAATTACGAATGATTTTTAAAAAATCTTAGAAAATAATCTATGGGTCATTTTGTACATGGGTTCATTGCTTTGAGTATTGTGTTTACGTTTCAATGTATTCAAGCACTAAATTTTACTATCCAGCGTTGGAATGTGGTAGAAATTCGGCTGAATGCTACAGTTAATTATTCCAGTCCATATATAGATGTTGATGACCTGAGTGCAACATTTATATCACCAACTGAAATTTCTATGACAATGCCTGCTTTTTTGGGATTGTGGACAAACATGGAAAATTCGTTTTGCTCCTATTGTTGATGGTATTTGGACTTATAAAACGAAAGCAAATGATAGTGGTCTCAATAATCAAACCGGCCTTATTACGTGTATACCTTACACTGGTAAACTATCAATCTATCAACACGGTTTTATAAAACCTAGTGCTAATAATCGATATCTGACATATGCAGATGGAATACCTTTCTATTGGTTAGGAGATACACATTGGTCAGGTTTCAACATTGCAGAACGATTTAATGAATCAAATGATATACGTTTTACTTCCATGTTCAAGGGTATGATTGATCGACGACTAGAACAAGGTTGTACTGTGTGGAAGGCTGAGACTTTTGCTAATAATAATGAACAAGGTAATCCAGCTCGTAATGAAGGTGGACCAGCATGGAACAATGGCGGATTTTTCATAGATTTAAATCCAGGTTTCTGGCAGAATATCGATCAACGCATAGAATATTTGGCAAGTAAATGAATGGTGATTTCAATGGCACAAGGAATTGGTCGCAGTATGAAAAATGCTTCTACCGAATCTGATCACAAACGATTAGCACGTTACATACTCGCAAGATATGGCGCCTATCCAACTGTATGGATAACTGCACAGGAATTCAACGATGTACATTCTGGATCATGCGGTCAATGTTGGGCAAATGTTGCTGCGTACGTATATGATCTTGATCCATACAAACGCGCCAATAGCATGCACAACGCTTACACAAATCCTATCGTATATCATGATCAGTCATGGTATGGATTTGTTACTCTTCAACAAAGCCATAATCGAGTGAGTTCAGTAGATTACTGGCTCACACAATATAATGCCATTCCGCCACGACCTATTCTTGAAGACGAAGCCAATTATGAAGATATTATTCCATGGTATGGTGGTGGTACGATAACACCTAAATGGAAAACTCGTCAAAGTGCATGGCAATCACAAATTGCTGGAACTTTTGGATTTACTTATGGAGCACAAGGTATTTGGTGGGCCTGTTACACAACTCTAGATATTAATTATAATTGTGGCAATGGTAGTGATGCACGAGCTTGGAACACAGCCATTGATTTTCCTGTTGGTGAACAAATGTCTTTTATGGCACGCTTTTGGACATCGTTTGAATGGTGGTTGTTGGCACCTGATGGAGATGCTATAATTTGGTCATCTGCTCCAAATAATACTCAAAAACCTTATCAAAAAACGGATGGGAATAATCGTACGCTAGTGATTGCTTATCTACCTTTGCAATTGAATGGGACAATTTATAATGGAACAGTAAGAAACTTATCACCTACTGGCTTGTACACATCTCAATGGTTTAATCCACGTAATGGTACTTATTCAATTATAGATGAAGGATGGATGCCCACAAAAGCTGGTTTGTGGAATATTCCATCTCAACCTACTTCTACTGATGATTGGATACTTAAGATTCAACGTATCAATGGTCCTAACGCATTGCCTAACTTTGCATTCGGTGCGAGCATAAGAAGTTCATCAAATAGGAACATAAATCAGACGTCTAACAAAGCTGTTGATGGTGACTTGGGTATATATTGGCAGGCTAGAGATGCACAAGGATTTAGTAATTCCTGGTTAGCAGTAGACTTTCATGTTAATATTACTTTTAACAAAGTATGTATCATTGAATATGATCAACGTACTACTGGCTATCGTATTGAATATTGGAACGGAACGCATTGGTTAATTGCTTACACTGGGTTTACGATAAATCATGAAGGTATTATTTTTAAAGCAGTTACTGGTAGTCAAATGCGCATTATATTCACTTCAGGAATAGGATACTCCCCAATCATTTATGAACTGGAAGTATATGACTCAACTTCAATAGCTACATAAGAAAAAGGTTTTTAAAATATTTAATAAAAACCCTTAGACTGTTCGATAGAAAGTATGATTTTCGAACTTTTTAATTAGTATTCAAATTATTAAGAGAATTCTTCATTAACATTTAAAATTTGATGACTTTGCTTACTTATTATTTAAGTAATATTTTGTATTTTACCATCCGAAAGTAATCTCCAAACCATTTTTTTTAGTTTTTTTAACTTTTACTCTGTTGAAGTAAGGTTTCGAAATATTCTACAGATCATTTTGTTAAGATCACTTTATTTTTAGAAAACGAAAGTGTCTAATGCATTCTGTTTATGTTGTCTTTCTTTAGATCATATACATCTTTATCATACAAGAGACGATAGATATCGATTTGTTTATAATGTTATGGCATCCGTCGATAAAATAAATCATAAATTTGCCTTTTAGAATAGATTGTTTGAAGGTTCAAAAAGTTGCTGTAGAACAAAAAATTTATTGATTCGTTCTATGGATATTTTTAGATTACTTAATACAGCAATTTATCGTAAAAAACAGAAATAATAGTACTTGAATAGAATATCTAATCACCGTTCTAGTCCTACGCTATATTGTTTTTTTTTGTATAGAAATTTATTAAAGGTTAAAAAGCAGTTGCAATGAATCTTTGTATTCTTTCTCCTCACTTCTAGTAGAAAATATTATTCTTCGTTTAAGCTTCGCCGTAGATGAGATTGAATTTTTTGCATAAGCATATGAGTTAAGAAGCATCTGAATGTCTATATTACGTGATGACCAAGCGTTACGGAATTTCATTTTTTTGCATTACAACACCTATATCTTCTCAATAGAAGAAAGCAAACTCTCTGAAATTTTTAACAGTGATAGAGAGTAACTA